ACATTATGGCCAACAAACTGTTAAGGGTACCGTCTTAACAATAAGAGGTCAATAACTTGGTTTCCAACGGTTCCTTAAGTACAAAAACTTTTGCTCATGGTTTTGTTCAAAACTTTTTTGATGATACTATATTGAGAGGTTAATTATATAGTTTAGAAATCGATGGCTCTGATACCACTTAATTGTCACGCCCCGGACCGCATCCGTGCCACGTAGACAACCGCCATACAACCCAATAAGAACAACGTAGTTCATTCTTATTGAATCATACAAGGCGTCCGTTGAGTTCTATTGCCAAACCGATTAGTAAACCCATACAATCAACATCAATATATATTAGTCAACGAATGCGGAAAATAAGATATGTTTGATACTTAGCCACACGTGGCAAATACGGACACGCAGGCCCCTCAAATGTTTTAATGGAAAACATTGTTAAAAACATCCATGAGCAGTTTATAAACTTTGAATAAGAATGGAAGCACGAACCACGTCTTCCTCTTTGATCAATCACCCTTGGCGAAGGTGCAGGTAGTAGGACTCTAGCCTCAACCTGAAAAAATGTGAGGGCCCCCGAAGGGGTCAGTACTCCATAGAAGTACTAGTGACAAGCAGGCTATATGAGGAATAACTAATGTTTCAGACACGAGACCCAAAAATAGGGTGATACATATGCTTATAGGTGTAACCATTGTTACCCCCATTCCCAAGATAATACATAATGTATATACTTGTAAAATACTTGACCCGTAGGTCGTTTTATCACAAAGAGTCTTTTAGAGATAAGGTACTTTCCCAACCTATCCCCTTTCCATTCCTGAATGCCTAGCTTGAGAGCTACATTCTACCTTCATAATATCCTACCGAGTTTCAGGAGGGTTTACCGTCCCGGGGATACTCAACCCCAACCGAGTTTTAGGATCATTTACCGTCCCGAGGATACTCAACCTCAACCGAGTTTTAGGATTGTTTACCGTCCTGAGGATACTCAACCTCACCGAGTTTTAGGATTGTTTACCGTCCTGAGGATACTCAACCTCACCGAGTTTTAGGATTGTTTACCGTCCTGAGGATACTCAACCTCTCCGAGTTTTAGGATTGTTTACCGTCCTGAGGATACTCAACCTCACCGAGTTTTAGGATTGTTTACCGTCCTGAGGATACTCAACCTCTCCGAGTTTTAGGATCATTTACCGTCCCGAGGATACTCAACCTCACCGAGTTTTAGGATTGTTTACCGTCCTGAGGATACTCAACCTCTCCGAGTTTTAGGATCATTTACCGTCCCGAGGATGCTCAACCTCAACCTTAATTCTAACCAAACCCTAACCTGGATATGGCTAACCTTGCATTCACTTAACTATGGACAATATCTAGTCCTATAGTCATATAATAATCCTTAGTAACCAATGTGGACGGGTCCCACCTGATCGGTCCACGTTATCCTGCTCAAAAGCTACCCGTTTTGAGTATAAACCAATACCCGGTCGGGTATCCACCTTACCCGGTCGGGTAGGGCCGGGCAGAAGCCCCTGGAACTGACTTTACTTGAGACCCGGTCGGGTCCCTGACCTTACCCGGTCGGGTCTAGTGTGGCAGTGGCTTCTGGAGCCGAATTTAATCAATACCCGGTCGGGTATCCATCTTACCCGGTCGGGTATCACCCTTGTCTCGGCGGTCAACGCCCGTTTGACCGCCCAAACGAAGTCCGATCAACGTGAAATTTTATATGTACATTCTACTTGAAGTCCTTGATCCAAAAATACCATTTTTGACCCCTGGATCATTGTACATAATAAGTTATCACATTTTTAATCACCAAACATACAAACATGCCTTTCAACTTTGTTTTATATATATTCATGGCATAAGCCCATACTTGATTAACTTTAATCATCCCATAAAACATATACTTGATTACTTTAGGTAATCTCATGCCTCAATCAAAAGTTATAAAGCATATAGCCGTCTTCTCACCTTAATGAAGCTTATGGAGTTCTAGCCCTTCCCGATTGAGCTCCGGTGAAACTCCGGTGAACTTCAATGAACTCCGGCGACAACTCCGGCGACCCTTTCAACTCCGTGAAAGTTCTTGAAACACCTTATACAAGTTATTAACAAGGTTTTATCATCATAAAACCCATATCAATACAAATAACCTCAAAAAGGTTATTTTCCGGTGAACCCGTCAACTTTGCTCTCAAAGTTCGTCTTGGGTATATACCAACCCTTCAACCCCCATTCTACACTTTCAAATGTGTAGGACTATCCTAGGAGTATGAAACATGATTAAGGAGAAGGAATGGGGTTAATGGAGTCATTACCTTGATAACCACAAGTTTTCCCCACCTAAACTCCTCTTTTCTCTTCTCTTTTCCTTCCCTTCTTCCTCCCCTTGCTTTGTGCGTGAATGGTGGATGAAAATGGAGTTTTTCCAGACTTCTCTCCTCAATGAAGCTGGCTTGGACGAGGTACAAGAGCTGGGGTGATTGTGAATGCCCCTTTTGGCTTATTTGCCAATAATATGGGGGAGGGGACCCCTTTTCCTTTCAATTTGGTATCAAGTCACACCCTCCCTCTTTCCACATGACTCTGTGCGGCTCCCCCTTGATATTTTGCAGACCAAGGACGTGGGGTGGCCCCCACATATGTGGGAGGTCATCCCTTTGTGACTTGAGATGTACAATCGGCCCCGAAAGTTGTATTTTCCGGACTGTTTCAACTATATTTCATTTTATTGGGTAAAATGAAATATCTATCATTCTTCCAATTATTATTGGCTATAAGAATGAATGTATATTCCCCATCTTTAATTTGATGGTCTCCATAATTTATTATGGCCCTTTTTATCTGATATTCCTTGAGTACCGATAAATGGGCTTTATATGCTCAAGCGGTTACTCCCATGATTTATGTGGTCCAACAAGGATGCCCACCATTATACACATGTTACCTTGACCCAAATGAATATAATATGTGGTCCCGAACATATCGGGCGGCCCCCACTTCCGGTGTGGGCCCCACGTGAATTTTACTATTCACGTAAAAGAAATGATAAAATTCACAATCACGTAAAATGCGTTTATTCGTTCCTCGGGTTCAATACATACTTTGATAAAGTACAAATACTTGGGGGCGGTGTTACACACGGGGTCCACCACATCGAGAGCCATACTGTTTTGCTCCCCCGAATCAGCACCCTCCTCACCAGGGACAGTCGCAACAACACCAGTTTGGGCTTCCCCGGCCTGAACAGTTCCCACGGTGGGGGCCGAGCCAGAACTACCGAAAGTGCTAGTTTCCCCCGAAGAGCGTGAGCCGGAGTCGGAAGTGGAGCCCGAGGAGGAACCCGATGAGCCCGAGCCAGAACTTGACGAGATCTCCATCGAAACCATCGCGGCAAGAATTCAAGACAAGAAAAAGAAGCAGAAGATGAAAGTTACCTTAGAGGGATTAGCCGAACTACGAAGCAGGAGAAGACTTGAAGAGCTGCGGAAATTCGAAGACAAGAGAGCAGAAATTGGGAACCCTAATCCAGAGGGGAAAACCGGCATTTATAGGAGAAACACCGGTGGGGGAGCCAACGGGGGGCTGACGCGTGGCAGGGAGCGTATCCCGGCTCACGCGCTGTGCGTGGGGCGAAAGCGTAATGATGACATCTCCTCGGGAAATGCACCGCCGCTACAGCAGCCGTCACCTCGTTTCCTGAACCGTCGACAGCTGTTAAGCACCATGACCACGAGCGTACGCTTCCACCGGATGCGATAAACACAAGTATCAAGACACGAACGTCTACTTTGAGGAGATTCATACTTCCTTATGTCCTGCGCATGCTCAGAACATCAGAAGTGGGGGACTTGTGTTGGGTTAAGGGCCCAAGCCGAGGTCCGGCCCACAAGGCCAGCCCGCAGGCCCATATTCCTTGGGGAAGGACGAACGTCTGGGATTGGGAGTTCAGGCCCAGCGGCCCATCCCGACGAACGTCTACGCAGGGACGGAGCAGGACCACGGGCTACCAGGGGATGACGACGGACGTCCCTATGGCAAGCCCATAGCCATCCGAGGAAATCCAGTCCACATGGAGAGAATCCAAAGGCCAGGAGACGAACAGCCGAGACCTCTTGAGGATCACTTGGGGCGATCCGGCTCGCTTCCCAGGCAGACGAACGTCCCCGTTATTTAGGCGGGAAACCTAGATTCTGGCGGGAAGCGCATTTAATGCTGGAGATTTGGTGGTTGGGGCACAAGCGGTCCACAGGCCTCCACGTCAGCACAGCCACCTGCCCATTGGCGGGTATAAATAGAAGCATTTATTTCATTGTAAAGGGTTGACAACTTTCTATTCTTAGCACTCTAGCTATAGCATTCTTACTCGCAGCACTTCTACTGCCTTGTAAGACGAACGGCCGACGGAGCCTTAGCGAAAAGTATTGTATTAGGGAGTTATTAAGAGATAATAATACCTAATCATTTACTTGCTACCTTACTGCTTTTCTAATCCATATCATCTGCTTGTTGGGCTAGTTCAATCACACACACTCCATTCGAAATCCTTGGGCTTACGTGTTGGACCCGGGGTTGAAGGAATAAACCTCAACACTTACATTTATTGGATGAGATACCCCTATATTAATGATTATATTCCACCCTTTTACACTTAACAAAAGTTTAATCCACACAATATATCGTTTGAGTCATATTTTTTCCTATAACAATCTCTTATTAGTAACTATTTACATTTTAAAATAAATTCTGTGACGAGAGTAAAAACTAGGTAAGAAAAGTCATCTACATTACCACATAAGTAAACTCATTTAATTGGATCTCTTACTTTAGGATGTCCTTGATAGACCCAACATCTTCTATGTTTATATACTTGAGTCAAATGGGTAAAAAGGTGAATGTGGGTATAAAAACTGATCAAGTTTTTTTCTTTTGAAAAGAAAAACTGACCAAGTTAATACTCCGTAGTTTTGAGAATTTGGGACTGAATTAGGCGTGTACGAACTACTTTTTGTATTAGCTCCAGAGTCCAGGAAAAAAAAAAACGTACAACTCTATCGTCATCCACGGACGAGGGCGTATTCCCTATTCAATTCAACCCGGGATTTCTAAACCAAGCTGCGAGTTGTGACTAGAGACAAGAACTGTTACTAAAAATCCCTCTTCGTCTGATTTCGCGTCTCGATTGTCTTCTCATTGTCTGGCGTCCTTTATTTTTAACTCTGTCTGAAGCGCTATTGAAGGCAAACTGTTTGTCGAGAGCAGTGAAATGATGTGGAGCTCAATCGAAAATTTGAAGGAGAATTTGAACCGAATCGCGTTTGAAATTCACGAGGACGACGATGAAGATGATGCCCACCTGTCGATGCCCCACAATTCGGGTGATTCGGTCGATAGTTTAATAGTTTCGCCAGCCAATCGAAGGATTTCTAGGAATTTATCTCATTCCGAATCGCCGATATATAATTACCATTCTCCGGTCGCTAATGGCCTCGATTCTGCTTACAAGACTGAGGTACTGAGCTCACTCTATCTCTTCATGAGAACTGAAGGTTCTGTTTAAATCTGAACAAGGATACGGCTGCAACCGGAAGGAATGACCTTTTTGGCCTCCCCTCTTTGTAATTAACATACTCTTGTGATGTGATCTACAATTTAGTCGGAGAATTTGGTTTTAGGATGGGACTTTTGATTAGAACATTGTGCTAATTCATAATTTTCAGTTCAATCCATGAACAGATTTATGTACATATATGAATTCAATAATGAATGGGCGTGTTTATTATGATGCAATTCTGATTAGAGTTCCTACTCATCAAAATTATAGCCACTATGCTGGTGAAAGCTGCGGCCTAATTGCCTATTACTAACAATTCTGCCACTATTGAAATTCTTGGTACCTCCTCCATCTCCCACTGCACTCTGCAGTAGGGTTGGGCTGTTGGGGGAGTAGCTGTAAATAACCTAGCTGGAGGAATGTCTCTGCTAATTCGCAATTTTTAAAAATTCTTTCTTTTGGTTTATGGTGTAGTTGGAAAAATACAAAGCCGAAATCAAAAGACTTAAAGAATCTGAAGCTGAAATCAAAGCATTGTCTGTTAATTATGCTGCACTGCTAAAGGAAAAAGAGGTAATCATAATTGTGAATTTGTGATCTGTAGACTGCAGTGCACCTTAATAGTTGCAATTTGCACATCATATCTCTCGGTCCTCCAAACAATTACTTTCTGAGATCACAATATTCTATTGGAGAATATTTTCTGTCCCTCATTTTGACATTAATATTTTCTGCTTTTTCTTTCTTTCTAGAACTCAGTGGTTTTCATTTGACAGGATCATATTGGGAGGCTGAGTAAAGAAAACAGTTCACTCAAGCAAAATTTACAAACAAGTCATACACCTACTGTGCCTAGACATTCTTCCAAGGTACTAACTTGATAGACACAGTCACATTTGTTTGTGCCACGTATTGATTTCCTACCTCTTTAGTTCATTCTAATCTCAGTATCCCACTGATATTCTAGTAGTTGCAATTAGGTTTTATTTGAACAAAACGCAGAACTGATCTAAGTGACAACCACCTTTTTTTTAGCTTGCCAGATGGCCTTATCGTTCAAATTTTCTACCAAACAATTGCATATTTGACCAATTTATTTGCTGAAATGAAGATAATTGACAATTCTGTCTCTTCTTTTAGATAGTACTCTGCCTTTTCTTTAATTTATTGAAGATATATTTGTACTACCTGTTTTAGACAAGTCAAACCATTTGGTTATTTGAACCGGAAATCGACAAATTCAACTTATTTAAATCACTTTAGCCAAATTTGTTCCCACCAAGAAGTCTAGTTTGGAATAGTATTGACTTTTGAGAGAGGAGGTGGGGTTGTGATTTGTGATTCCCCTCACTCTTTGGAGAATGGATTGTTAATCCTCTTTCTAACAAAACAAGCACTAAACGAATTGTTACATGGTTCTGTTTTAGGGGAGCATCGATCAATTATCAAATAGTCATCGTAAAATTCTAGCATGTAAAAACATAGAAGGAAACCCATCCAGTAATGGCCTTTTTCCCCAGCATGATGGACTAAGCAATGGAGAAAGTCTTGGTAGTGAGAAGGTAGCAGCACACTTTCACTTATACATTTCCAACTGAACCATAACTCTGAACTTTGGTTCTGCTTTTTTTATTCTATGGTCTGCACTAATGATATATATGAAAAGCTTCACAAGTATGAACTGAATTTGCTGCCATACTTCCAGAGTTTTCATTTGACTTGCCATGTTTTTTCACCATGCTTACCGATTTCACACTGCATACTTAATGGAACACACCCTGCATGTTTTGACTTGATTCAAGTGTTATCCTGTCATAGGATTTCTATTTTCTTACCATGCTGGATGGATGTATTCAAAACAAAATATGTTTACAGATATTTATCTTTTCTAGGAACTTGCAGATTTGCTGGAAGAGAAGAGCATGTCTCTTGTATCCATGCAAGCGAGTTATGAATTACAGATAAAACAATTAGGAATTGAGCTTGATAAAGAACGCTGCAAGCTAGAAAATATTGAAATGAAATTAAAAGGTACATGTGTACTAATCTAACACTCAACGGTAAATGTGTGCTATTTCGCATGCGCTTCTACCAAATTTTTAACGTTTTGTGCATTTTCACTCTTAGAGGAGCAGAAGTTGAGTGCATCTTTTCAGCAGGAGCTAAGGTCTCTAAAAGTTGACAAGGAGAAAGTAAGTTGTGACACAATGCCTCCATGGAATCACCGAAAATGCTGCTTTTCGGAACATGAGTTGCATTTGAATACATGACACTATGCTTTATTATTTTGTTATTTTTTCACTTTTGTGTTCATATTTTGGATACAAATGTCAATGTTACACTGTTTTCTGACTTGGTTCCCAGTTGACGCATCAAAGGATGCTTTTTTGCTAATCCAACATGATTATTTTCATAGTCCAAATCTTAACTTTTAAATCGTGTACTTTCAAATTTAAAATTGTGTTATCTAATCCTTAACTTACCCATATTCAGCTGATTTTAGTTGGTTTTCATATTATCAGCAACATCAGTATGTTTACTTTTCACGACACCTTCCTTACTGCATTTGAAAGGGCCAAAGGTGGCATAGATGCACAGTTTTTATATGTTTATTTACCATTTTCCTTTGTGACAGATGGCTCAGGAGGTTGCTAGAATTAACGATGAAATGAATCAGAAAGTTGCTGAAATCCAGCAACATGAATTAAATCTTCATAACAGGGATACTAAACTAGCAGAAAAAGAACTGGAGGATTTTAAGAGAGTAGTAGCTGCACTGCGAGAGGAAAACAACAAACTCAAGGTGAATGACCTTTGCATTTGACTGTAAATCTTAGAGTCTCCCAAGTGGTTTGTCTGGTAGGTCCTTAACAGTATCTCTTTGATTCAGAATGATAAAGATAAATTGGAAGCTTCCTTGGAAGCATCCAAACTTTTGACAGTACAGGCTCCTTCATCTGGTGGTGAGGTGGGTATGCTTAACCATTAATTATTACTCATAAGATAAAATGACTGCATACATCTTTTTTTGTACGTTTCTAAACTATCCAATCCAACTTTAATTTCCCCAATTTAAGCTCCTTGGATGATTTATTTGTTATTTTTGAAATTTCAGGGTCAGTCATCACCTGTATTTCCAGAAAAGGAAGTGATGGAGAAATCACTACAAAAGCTTGAGAATGATTTGAAGGAAACACGCAGAGAAAGGGATAAGGCATTGTTAGAACTGAACCGTCTTAAGCAGCACTTGTTAGAGAAGGTCATATCTCCTTTGCTTATGTAGTTTTTTGGTATATTACAGAAGGGGAGATTTAAAATGAATACATAGAATCGATCAGTACGTAAAAGAATGACTGCATTCGTGAGTTGATCTTGAGCATATCACGACCTTTCTAGAGTCTAAACTATTCTCCTATTTATCTCTTTCCATTTAGATGAAGGATCATGACACATTCACCCTGATCATTAGTAAAGAGCCTTATCCTTTTATTCATTTGGACAATTTGGTTATTCACACTTCACAGGAAGTTCTGCTACTTGAACACTAGATAACTCAGTTTAGGCTAATAATGAAATGGGTAGGCATCTAATGTTGTATTGTTGTATGCTCCAGCCGACTGATTTTTTCAATATCTTACTATTTTTTACTCTTCTGATCATGATCTGGGTTTCTCTCACAACTCTTTTGATTGACTACTATTTGCCTTCATCACATGTGGCAACCTGATAGAATTATCCAGTTATACAACAATTCTGATAGAATCCTCCAGGTTAGCCGTAAAGTTACAGAGAGATTAACAAGAACAATTTGAGAATTTTATTGAAGATGAACAGAATCTGTAACAACGATAGAGAGAGAGAATATGGCCGAAGCCCCCAAATGAGCCGAAGCCCCCCAAAGAAAGAGAAAGTTCTTGATCTTCCCAAGTCCCAAAGTCCAAGTCTAAAACAGCCTGCCTAACTCCCCCTGCTATCTTCTATTTATACTAGACTTATACACTTATTATTATTAATACTCTAATGGGCCCGGTCCCTTATTATTACTAATACTCTAATAGGCCCGGTCCCTAACAATACTCCCCCCTAAACATCCACCTTGCCCTCAAGGTGGGTGATAGGACACAGCCACCATCTTCTTCTTTTCTTTCATCCTAGCACCCCTCCCTCTCCAATACTTATTTGTCTGCTGGGCTTTTTGCTTTACTACTTCCATCTTCCGCTCTATGTATTTCACAACATAGTTCCACAGAGGCCAGAAAATTTTATCCAAAACTTTGATTCCTGCAGATTCTGTGGAGACCAAGGTGCAGCCGGCTGCAACATAGGGGACAGCAATTTCATGTTTTTGAACACTTTCTCCTTCAACCTCCTTTGATAATCCCTGATAGTTCAGCCATTTCCCTTCTCCCTTCATATTTATCAAGCTCTGCATTTCTTTGTGAGCTCCCTGTTGACTAGATGAGATATCTCCTTGTAAAATCAACTTCTTCCCTTGTACTTCCCACTTGAAGGTCTGACTTTGAAAGTTAATCTCAGTGTCTCCCAAGCTTGTTAGCCAGTCCATTCCCAAGACTAAATCAGTGCCCCCCAGCTCCAATAGGTAATATGTTTGATGAATACCAATTCCTTGCACATTCAGATCTACACCTGCACACCTGCCACAGATTAGAATCCATTCTCCATTGCCTATCTGTACCCTATTCCCCTGAATAGGAGTATAAGGGATCCTCCACTTTTCCACCAAGCTTAGTGACATAAAATTGTGTGTAGCACCACCATCAATGAGTACAATTACTGTCTCCTCACCTCCAGGCCATTCCAGTTTACCTTTCACCTTAAATGTTTGCACAGAGGGTATGTCCTTCTCACCTAATCCTGAAAACTGCATGGTCTTCAATTCTAGAGGTATGGTCTTATCCCTTCCTGATTCCAGTGATTCAACTTCAGAATCAACTTCACCCTCAGAATTCTCCACTAGGATCATTTTATAGTTCCTCATCTTGCAGACATGTCCTCTTCCCCATTTTTCACCACATTTAAAACAGAGTCCCTTCTTGCTTCTGTCTAATAGTTCTTCTTGGGATAACCGGGGACTTGTCTCATTAGATACACAGCTTGGACCTTCCCTTCTGAAATTCAAGCCCTTATTATCTTCATTACTCTTAGGATCCCCTGAATATGTGTCCACACTAACAGAAGTGTAAGGATGGCTTTTCCACCTGTTTTCATCCTCCCATTTCTGTCCTGAAGACTGGAAGATAGATTTATTCTGCCCTTTCCTCTTTCCTTCCTCTTTATTCTTCACATATAAGGCTTCAGAATTCTTTTTCTCTATCAAGGAAGCTGTATCCATAACATCTGCCAAAGTTCTGGTGCGATATAACTTCAGTTCTGCCCTTATATGACGCTGTAAACCCTTAACAAAAACCCCTCTCAAAACTTCTTCAGTTAAGTGGCCCTGTGAAGCAATGGCAGTCTCAAATTTATCCCTATACTCAGTCACCGTTCCCTTTTGCTTCAAACTGAGTAAAGGTCCCAAAGGATCTTGCACCAATTCTGGTTGGAATCGTTTGGATAAAGCAGCAGTAAATGCCTCCCAAGTCTGATGTTGAGCTTGTCTTTCCCACCATTGAAACCAGCTCAGACCTTGGTCTTCCATGGCAACAACTGCGACATCGATTTTGTCTTCTTCGTCCGTATGGTTCAATCGAAAATACCGGTTCATTCTTACTAACCATCCACAGGCGTCCTCTCCATTGAAAATTGGCAAATCAATTTTCCTCCCAGCTGGATGTTCCTTTCTCCGATGCCTGTGTCGTTCGCGACCATGAAGCGAGGCAGAATGATCGGAATTGTTATCCGAACCTTCAGAGCTTTCATGATTCCTCGTATGTCTACGGTGAGTTGTACGATGCGAAGAAGTAGAATGGTGCGATCTACTTCTCGATCGATCGGAATTCCTGTTTTGGAGTTCAGCGATGCCAGTCTTCATTGCCGTCAACATCGCTAACATCTCATCATACTTCGCATCAGATTCCCTCTGATTTCTTTCAATCTCTGTGATTCGTCCCTCCATCTTTTTCCGCGTTCCAACCATTCACAGAATCGACAGGCTCTGATACCAAATGATAGAATCCTCCAGGTTAGCCGTAAAGTTACAGAGAGATTAACAAGAACAATTTGAGAATTTTATTGAAGATGAACAGAATCTGTAACAACGATAGAGAGAGAGAATATGGCCGAAGCCCCCAAATGAGCCGAAGCCCCCCAAAGAAAGAGAAAGTTCTCGATCTTCCCAAGTCCCAAAGTCCAAGTCTAAAACAGCCTGCCTAACTCCCCCTGCTATCTTCTATTTATACTAGACTTATACACTTATTATTATTAATACTCTAATGGGCCCGGTCCCTTATTATTACTAATACTCTAATAGGCCCGGTCCCTAACAAATTCACAGAAAGTATCAAGAAAAACAACTGCAACTTTATTCAATATGAACAGGCAACAATGGCCGAAGCCCCCAAAAGATAGATATAATACTCTAATCTTCCCAGTACAGACTTAAGAGTCAAAACAGCCTTCTCAACTCCCTGCTTTATTCTATTTATAGTAATTCAGTCTAACCAAAGGTAGTTATTAGCTAATAACAAACTTTGACTAACAACTAACTCTTCTATTTATTCCTTCTAGAATTTACTTTGCCAAAGTATTTATCTCCTCTCTTCGGATTAGTAGAGTCTATCACAACCTTATTCCAAATCTTAAATCTTTGTCATTAATAATGATAGCAATTGTGGACCTCTTTAACATTAATCACGTTATGAAATCTCAAGATCTTGCTCCCCGTGCTTTTAGGAATCTGAAGAATCAGAGAAGATGGACGAAGACACCAAAGTCATTGAAGAACTACGGCAAATTTGTGAATCCCAACATGCTCAAATTTTGCAGTTGGAGAAAGATCTTAAGCAGGCAAATGGTAGCTTGAATGAAGTCAAGATCCGTACTGATAGAGAACTGGTGAAGTCAAAGGAAACAGTTGATGAGCTGAATCGAAAACTGGCAAGCTGTTTAAGCACAATAGATGCCAAAAGTATCGAAGTCCTTAACCTGCAAACTGCGCTTGGCCAGTACTATGCCGAAATTGAAGCCAAGGTAAAATGGTAAACTCTATCTATACTCAAGTCTGAGAGTTTTCACTGATATAATGAACATATGAAAGGGAAACATATGTTGTAAAGGCATGCTGACCCATTTGTTTGAACTGTTGTTATCTAACCATGTTGTATGAAATTTCTACATCCCCTATCCCTCTTCTACTGTCTACGAAAGATGCTTAAGCATTTACTCCCTCCGTCCCCTTTTAAATGTCCCGGAAGAGGGTGACACGAGTTTTAAGAAAAGTGGGTTTGTGTGGTTGATATTAATTGATAAAGTAAGAATAAAGTAAGAATGATTTTGAGCCACACAAACTTTACCAAATAAGGTATGGGACAATTAAATAAGGACATCCCAATATGGTAAAACGGGACATTTAAAAGGGGACAGAGGGAGTAAATTAGAAATTTAGAATGAAGGATTGGACGAAATTTGACTATGTATTGATGTTACTATATATCGTTCTTTTTTTTTTAAGTTAGGTATTTTACATTTCTTTAACATTAAGCACGAAAAAAGGTAATATCTGAACATGTATGTAGTTCTTATGGCACTGTTTTTGAATGTGCAGGAACGCCTGGCAGAAGATTTGACCGCAGTGAAGGAAGAATCCGCTAGACTTTCTGCGCTTTTAAAGGTCTGAGCTACCTTTATGCTTAATATAGCAGAGAGATCTTATGAACTGTTATTAAATTTTTCTTTGAAGATTTTAGACCTTCTAGTGAAACTCTGATCTTATGGAGGACCAGCACTGTTAATCTCTAATTGTTCACTGAAACCCACACCTTTTCCTAAATGTGGAATAATGGGATAGGGAAACTAGGGATGTTTTGTGCCATTAGCAGAAGCAAATTCTCCCTGGGGTCTTCTTTACAATGCACATGCACCAATGGAAGTAGATAATATTAGTTGATTTTCTTGGGGGTTTAAAGATTTCTTCCTTTGCTACAAAATGTTCTTCCCACATTCCTTTTTAATCATCTCAAAAGGTTATTCTCATTTTGTTTTAAGAATTGTGTGGTTTGTATTGGTTCTACCTTTCTAAATAAATTTCACGTACAACTTTACCACCTAAAACAGTGTAAGAATCAAGGGAAGAACATTATGGGACAGAGGAACATATTTAATCCTCATTTATTATACTTCATAATTGAAGACTTATAAAAAGTAAGCATAGATAAGGACTAACATGAAAGAACAATAAATGTTTCATGGGAAAAAATGATGTTTCACGAGAAGGAAAATTTTATTGTTCCTTGAAAGGAAAAATGATGTTTCACGAGAAGGATTTTTTTTTATTTTTTTCCCATGAAACATTTATTGTTCTTTCACGAGAAAGCCTAACAAATTTCTTGGTTGTAACTTGATGTATTAGAACGCATACTGAGACATTGTTAGGCTAGTGTAATTTTTTAGGTTCTATTAATAAATTGCCACTTCAGAAGCTAATTGGATTTCAATTGGGGGAACATTAAACTACATTATCTGTTGCTAACTTGCTAATATATCATATATGAAAGCCTTCAATTTTCTGGTCTATGAACAATGGAGGTGTTGATGTGGGTTTTAATGCTTTCCCCTCTGTAGTCAAGGCCATGTTTACAAGTGAATATGTGTCATCTTGGATATATCGGTCAATTTTCAGACCAGATCCTCTGATATTTCAACTCTAAAAAGTGTCTATGATTTTATTAGGACGCATATGAGCGGTCAGAAAACTTGAGCAGGGATAAGGAAGAAGCGTTAGTAAAGCTGTCAGAAGCGGAAAAGAAATTTGCTGATTGGAAGAATAGAATGAATAAGTTGGAGCAAGACAATGAAAAACTACGCCGTGCTCTTGAACATAGCTTGACCAGAATAAACAGGATGTCTTTAGATTCAGACAACTATGTTGACAGGTTAGTTTCTGCAAGTGACAGTTGGCACTTGATTATCGGCAAAAAACAACAGCCGGGTTATATCAGCAGCAGCATTATGATATTAATTTATTACTATTTCCAGTGTTCTATGCTATCTGTCTCAGCGGGGTTTTATTAAAACGGTGCAGGCGAATCGTGGTCAAGTTACTAGTGACCTACTTCCAAAGAAACCACAGCAAAGAGGTACACATATTTACTGGACTTTTTTGTTTAAAAAATTTAAAAAGAAAAAGAATATACTTGCCATATTTGTCGGATGGCAGGTATACATGAAATATATGCATCCTCTGTATGGTACTTTTACATTCCAAAGATGTTTTTAACTACCGATTGCAATACTGCGCTATTTTATTTTTTCATTTTTTAATAGACCTGATCAAGGATTTATAATGTCCCAATTAATGTGGTAGGCCTATTATTATGTTTATTTTACTTATAACTATAATAGTTAGTGAATACGTAGTCCTTCGTATTATACTACATGACTGTTTATTATTTTTATTGTTATTATTGTTATTATTATAATTACTGCTCCACATATTATTATTGTTATAATGATATTAATAATAATAATAATAATAGTTATTGTTTTAGGTTCTGGACCTGATGGTCCGCATGCTGGGATTTTCTGAGGAAGATAAGCAGAGATTGGGTGGTATTGGACGACAAGGAGGCTCAGGAGGGAAAGGCGTTGTCCGGGGTGTCTTTGGTCTTCCAGGCCGGTTAGTAGGTGGCATTTTAGGAGGCGGTGGAGGAGGTTCGAGCCCGACTGCCGCCAACATGACTTCTTCAGATGACCAGGTGGTCGTCATCTCTTGTTCTTTCTTAGCTACAGTAAGCATGATACCGTTAGATTCATCCACTAACAGAAAGGTTTGTTTTTCAGTCATTTGGAGATCTATGGGTTGATTTTCTTCTCAAGGAGACGGAGGAGAGAGAGAAGAGAGAAGCGGCCGCTAGCAATTCTTCATTTTCTTCATCATCTCCAAGTGGGAGTTTTCACCAGGCGGCAATAGCTGCAGAGCAGAACTCATCAGACTCAGAGTTCTCAACTGTCCCTCTTACCTCTGCTGAATCGAATTACCCACATTCTCAATTTTCAAGACCTCTCCAAAAATACTAACCACAAAGGTGTACAGTTTATGTACTATATAATCATTTTCCAGAAATGGTTTTTATTTTTTTGTTTATTTATTTTAATATACAATATTACTCTAGTAAATATAGCAATGTATAATTCTTTTGTTCAGCTATTACCATTTTTTGTGCACACAAACAACCCACACTTCATTTCAATATTGTAAAAGTATCATTCCATAATAATATTTCAGGTATCTTGGCTTTGCCAAGAGCCCAAGAGTTTCGTTGTTTATAAAAAATATGGTGATTTTCTTCTTTTTAAGTGATTGAACAATTCTTCTTTTTAGTAGAAAAATACGTAATATAAAAAATAGTAACATCATTATTACTCCCTCTGCCCCGTTGGGATGTTTCCGGTTTGACCTACACACATATTAAGGAAATAAACTTATCAGGGGGTAAATTTTACTTTTACTGTTTTGACATTGTTTCGACACTGTTTCGACACTGTTTGACACTGTTTTGATGTAAGATAACTTTCCATTTAGGGAAAGGGAAACTTCTTTTTGGGACATCCAAAAAAAGAAAACGGAAACATCCCAACGGGACGGAGGGAGTATTACTTATCAACCTTCAATCGACAAGTATAGGATATACTCCGTATATTAGTATGAACAAAAAAACTATTACACCAGAATGAATTTAGAAACACTCCGTAAATGCTAAAGTGCCCCTTGCATATCAAAGTTTTAACACTAATTTTCAATATCCCTTCAAGCTAGCTTTTTTTCTTCCATGCCTTCATGCCGCTTAAATTGGTGCTGCTAGCTTTTCCATCTTCCTCATGTCACTGCATCGCCTCCAGAGCCCAGCACAGCTGCCCCAACCACCTCAAGCGTCTCCCTCGGCCCTCACACCTAGTCATGGACCCGGGCCGGTTCGGCCGGGCTTTTTTTTGGGAAGGAAAGCCCGGGACCGGCCCGGGTAGCCACCGGGTCCGGTCCGGGTCCGGGTCAGGCCTCCGGTTCGGTCATAATTTTTTTTTTGCTTTCCTAACCCCCCCCCCCCCCACTCACCCCCCCAAACCCCCAAACCCCTCCTAACCATCAAGCCCAACCCGGCTAACCCCAAAAAATGAAAAAAAAATGAAAAAAAATCAATTCGGCCCGGGCCCAGGCCCGACCCGGCCGGTTCGCCAAATACAAGGCCCGAGCCCGGACCCGCCCCCACCGGGCCTAGGCCCGACCCGGACCCGGACCCGGACCCGGACCCGAGAACCGGGCCGGTTCCGGGCCCGCACAGTGGCGGGCCGGGCCGGGCGGCCCGAACCGGGTCCATGCCTACTCACACCCCATAGCAGGCAGCATCTGCATCACCCCAACAACACCAACGACTACCTGGCGCCCAACATCTCCCTCACCGGCCAACTGTTGGCAGCATTAGCATGGCCGCGTGCAGTGTCTCCTCCACGCGACCACGCAGAGAACGTCCACATCTGACCATGCCACCCCTTCCACGCCTTAAATATTACTAGTATTACTACATGTACTACTTCATTATTGTCGATTGTCGATTGTCGATGGGTGATCAAAGCTTCAACCACGCCAAAGCTGTGAACCACAACTTTGCCTGATCCCGCCCATCTATCTCGATGACATTGTTCAAGCCAAAAGTTGATTTCAACCAATCATCCAACGAATCAAAGCATTCCAAACAACCAAAACTCTGAACATCAAACCGAACAATCGATCCTATTCGACTGTCCAATGTGCTAGATCGAGGGTTATCAAACCGCTACTTAAATTTTACTATTCCTACGTGATAAAAAGTGGAAGAAGAAACACCTACTCCGTATGTAGTTATAAATACGTTTAATTTATACTATGTAAAGTTTTTCATATATTCTTCGAATACGAAGCACATATTCTTAAAAAAGGTTACAAACTTTAACAAAAGTAATGGCGAACAAGCAAGTGTATATGACGTAGTACTACGTATTCAATAACGTAGTCACAATTTGTAAAAAATAATACGGGTTATCTTTACTAAATGACTTAACATAAGATATAATTGAGTACTTTTTTTTGAAAGCATATAATTAAGTACTTGAAAATTGTAACTACAATTATGGAACGGTATAAGAAAGAATTACGTTTTTTTGTACACTATTTTTAAACAGCATGAAGTTCCCCCATTGCGTCGATCTCCTACCATACCTTCATAACCAACCAGGCAACCAATAACAATAATTATTCTTCAACTAAAAACAGACCAAAAAATGAAAACTAATTCAATACAAAACAAAACTATCTAGTAATCTAGTTCAAGAAAAAATTGTCCAACCCTTTTCCTTGATCGAAACGAAACGGAGAAAAAACAAATCCAAACATCCATTGTGACCATTAGCCAAAAAATTTGAAGGGAAAAAACCAAACAAACTAAATTTACATTGCAGCCAATAATAATTTTAATTTCAATATTAATTAATTCGAAGTAGTAGTAGTAATAATAGTGATCATAATCATAATAAATAATCATTGCCTTCGCCGTCCGTCGGAATACTGCGAGAGCGGGACCACCTCCGACAGAGGCGTGGACATCGGTGTCGGCAATGGCGAATTCCGGCAAACGGGGCAGGACGGGTTGAGCTTCAGCCACGCGTCGACGCACGTGACGTGGAAGTAATGCCGGCAGTCCGGCAACATCCTGAGCATCTCCGAATCCTTGTACTCGCACAGGCATATGGAACACAAGCTGTCGTTTCCCGGATTCGAGCTCCTCTTCGAGTACACGAGTTTCGGGTACGAATTGATCACCGCCTGATCGAGCCCGACGGCGCCGCTCTGCGCCGCGGCGCCGTCGTCCTCCTCGGCGGAGAAGATTATGCGGGGGAGGTAGACCCCGTGCTCGTTGGGGTTGGCGTTGCGGCGGCCGGACTCTGCATCGCGGCGGCGGCGGCGGACGGCGGCGGAGCGGCAGCAGACGTAGGAGGCCAGAAGGACGGTGGAGAAGAGGACGAGGAAGCCGAAGGCGATGGCGATGGCGTAGCCGAGGCCGATGGTGGTGATGTTGGTGGAGATGGAGTTGGAGGCAGGCGGCGGCGGCAGGGGAGGCGTCAGAGGAGGCGGAGGGGCGGGGGGAGGAGGAGGGGAAGAGGCGGCGGACATTGGGAGAGGGCTGGAAGGGCGAAATGGTCCATTTGAAAAGAGGAAAAGAGGAAGATGAAGTAGTGGTGGGTGGGGCGTTTAGCTGCAGCATTTAATAGTTGTTCGGAAAGCAGAGAAGCTCATTTATGATCATCACCATTCCCCCCATTTTCTTCTTTAAATTATTACAGTCTATATATGGAATTTAAATTATTCCTTTACCTTATTTAACTCTCGTTTTGATTTTTTTGCCATAGTTTTTCATAAAATTGAGATAAATTATACTCTCAATCTCTTCAAAAATGCATGTAACATAAAGAAATTGATAAATAAGGATGTTTTGGATTGAACTAATTTTTTTTGTCAGGTCTGATTTGGTTTAGTCTCAATTGATCTGGTTTGAACTAGTAAATGTTAGTTCTTTATGTATTTGTAACTGACCAAATCTGATTTGGTCTGGGTTTGGTATGATCTTAACTGGTACTCCGTATGATTTGGTCTATGAAAACCGTTCAAATGAAATTCAAAAGAATAATCCCTATGGATTCTACATTAATAATTTCTACTAAGAATGTCTATACAAATAATTGGTACTAGCAATAGTGTTCACAAGAATAAATTTGAGTAAATTCAAACTAATGCTCATTTAGTACTCCTAACACCTACCTCCACTTTCCCGTTCACCGCTCTTCGTTTCGATTAACACTTTATTATGTTTCAACCTAAAGAAACCCACATATGACGAAGATGGTGTTGAAATTATACATGTTTAAGTTTGAATTTGCATTAAAAGGATTAATTTGAATTCACCACAATTTATTCTTATATATGAACATCATTGCTAATTCGGATTATTATTGTATCTTATGATTTTCGATCACCATTTACTTTAGTATCCCAAATTAAAGTTATATGGTTGTATAAAGTTAAATAATGTCAAAATAGTTCACTCGGCATTCATATTTTATGCTAAGAAAAAGAGCGTTTTAGAAAATAAAAAAATCCAACTCATTTCAAATTTGAATTCATTTAAAAAACAATTGAATTCACTTTAAGTGCTATATTCAGAATAGGAAGTTATTAGAGGACGATCATAATGTTTTTAATAGAAAGATCCAAAAAAAGATACAGTTTAATTTTGATATTGCTAAAACAGAAATATTTGATGTTATTTGATGTTGAAAAGAAAAATGAAAAGAAATACCTAAGATATAAAGAAAAAAGAGGAAATTGAGGAAGTCAACGTAGATTATCTTATGTTTCCCCCCACTGAATTATACCTTTATTTTATCATATACGAATTGAAGTTCATCCTACTTATGATAATGAGTGATATAGACATGCAAGTGACAATAATTAGTTTTCTTCTAATGCATACTAATCACATGGGGTATTAAATACCCTATTATTATTTTTTATCAAATACTCCGTATAATAGACAAACACCATAACGACTACAAAATAAATTGTTAGTTCCTTTAAATTTCCTTAATTCGGTAATTAAAAGTACTCTATAACATATTCCCTCCTGGCCTCCTTACTCCTTAGTGTGGGGCTGTGGGCTGCTTGATAAAATTTGAGTATCTTTGATTTTAGTTAATTAAGTCTTAGGTTTGAGTGTATTTGTATTTTTGTTTGATTTAAACTTTTGTTTAGTTTTATACGTACGTAGTATCTTATTTGGAGCCTGGTCGGTGTTTGTCAAACAAACTAAACATTGAAAGTGGAAGAAAATTTCAACTTTTTACAGTGATTCAAGTCCGTATTTATGAGATTTTGTATGTCTGATTAGTTGGTTCAAGAATCTTGAGTCATTTATTATCAACATTATTAGTTATTTAATAATAAATACTACGTAACACTGTAAAGTTTCACTACAAAATATTCTCGAATAAAAGAGTTCTTTCAATATGTAACCAGTAACCACGAAAAATTTTATCTGCTCTTGTTAGCGAAGATCCTTGATTGAGATGTGACTCGAACCTGCGACCTTCTCTTTGGGAGATCAACAATGATGTCATCAGACCACGAATCACAATGTTAATATTCAGTGTCCCAAATCTCTAATGCATACTACGTATTTTGTAACTTTTTTAATAAACGTTAACTTTTATTTAACTCTTTTATGGTTATTGAGAACAGATTTTAAAAGAAAAAAGGAATTGTAACTACATGTTTGATAAAAAAAAAATAAAGTGTTAGATTTAATTCTATTTGATATAACAAGTAAACGACCTATTGTGAATAATTAATGCTAAGTGCATATTTGGTAAGCAAAAGTCCACACCTTCTAGTTTTTGTGCAAATTAAAAATTCTTTAAGTTTTATATTTTATAGTTGTATGTTTGGAATGATAATATTCAAAAGTTTTTTTTAAACAAAAGATCTTTTTGAGAAACTACATTGAATAGCTTCTAGGAGAAAGTTTGCAACTTTTAGCATTAATTAATCACAACAAATTGTTATATCAAAGAATTAATCAAACAATAAACTTTTATCACAACCTTTTTTATTTAAGATCTTTCCGGTCGCATATAGCTAATAACTACTAAGAAGTTCTCAAAACTATCTTCTCGATTAGTTGTGCCAAACATAGTCTAAAAACTGCAGACTTTCTCCTACAAACTACACAATGTACTACACAACTTTTTAAGAAGTTCTTTTATTTTTAAAAAAACTCTTAATTATTGTCATAATTATTGTCATGTTAAACATACACTTAGAAGCTTTCAAAGATTTTTTAAACATGCAGTTGAAGTGTTTCTCAATTCCATTTATTTATTCCAATTTATTACGAGTACTAATTAGTATTCAAGATCACACCAACCACACTTAGCTTGTTACTTAGACATGCTCTTTTACGTGCCTATAATATTTTTAGTCAAAGAGCTTGTGCATCCTTTGACATTAGAGTAGTATATGGTTGTGCAGTTTTACATGAATCCCTGAAACATCTTGTCTATATCATTACTCTTGACATTATGAACCATGTGCATTTCGGGACTCCAATACGGCAGCCCTAATAGTGGTTTCATACTTGCTAGTCTTGAGCATGTCCACCCAAACCCTAGGTGTTATATATGAAACCATTATTGATTCAAATGTATATTTTTATCAACAAAGTGAAGAATACGATCAAACACTTTAGTTTTTAATATAAGTTTGACATTAATCTCAGTTGGAGTAAAGGAATCTTCAATTACGAATATGGATATGACGATATATATTATTCTTAAAAGTAACAAGATGGCATAAAATTAATTAAAATGACAACCAAGATTGAAGGATTATTTGGATTGAGCCCGGACCAATAATCAGTTCCAAAACCTCGATCAACCTAACATCTAACTGATTCATCCAAAAAGATCAACCTCATTGATTCAAGATCACATTCATTCACTTACAAACTATTAGGAGCTTGAGTGGGACTACAATTCAAATCAAGTAAGTTAGAAGCATCATAATGATTCAGTAAAAGAAGAAGATAGAGGGTAATTTTGAACCCCTATAGCTCTATAAATCACTCAACCATCTCTCCCGAAGATCTTTTACTCTCTCGTCCCGAAAAGGTTCACCAAATTGATTTTACTTGATCAATGACAATCAACTTTGATCAATAATATTTTTTAAGATGAAATTATTTTGAACATGAAAATTACATAAGAATGTTCCTTATTCAAAATATTTTAGTAAAAGTATAAAATTTACTAGTATAAGTTAAATATACAAATATAATAATTAAAATCAATTTTCAAAGTTAGTCATCATTACCACAAAAAAGTCAATATGACGAACTTTTTCGGGACCGAAGTAGTATTCTAATATTTGTGTGTGTGTGTGTGTGGTAGCATGAGAGGATGAAAAGTATGTCTTGCTTTCCAATTGCTTGGTTTTGCAAATAATTGCTATATCATTCAGGTTAGGGAGAATTTGAGTTTACACTCCATGTTTCGAGTGATATTTGACTTTACACTCCATTTGTAAAATCATTAATGTATGCACTCCATTAGCCAAAAATGTGAAGGAGCGGAGTGCAGAACCAAATAATTTTATAGTGAATTGAAATAGGACTAAAAATGTTTGAAAATTTCAAAATAGGACTGTCATATTTTTATTCCCAAAATAGGACTAATTACTGTCATGTTTTGGCAGTACCAGACTTCAAACATGACAGTATTTTCCAAACATGGCAGTAATTACTCCTATTTTGGGAATAAAAAACATGACAATCCTATTTTGGAATTTTCAAATTGTTTTAGTCCTATTTCAGGAACTCTCCCATACATTAATAACCTTGGAAATAGAGTGAAAAGTCAAATATCATCCAAACATGATTTGCAATGTCAAATTCTCCCTTAATGTTATTAATTAATTATTAATTAATTAACTAGGGTGTTTTCTTTTGGATTGTTTTCAATCCCAGACCAGACCAGACCAGACGAGAGCAAATTAGACCAGTCTTCCGTAGTTATAAAATACACAGAGATCAGACGTTACCCAATCAAGCCAGACCAACAAATTTTAGTCCAGAAAACATCCAATATAGCACCCATTGTATTTGTTCTTCGGAAGGCCAGTCAAGTAAAAAAATGTTGTTTCTTTGTGGGGGCGTAAATGTCGGTTTAAAATATGGTGATACATAATTTATAAATTCAGTAATCAAACATCATGACGAAAACAAACAAACTTATACGACGAAAAAAGAAAAGAAAAGTATTTCCACATGGAAATGTCAAAGCTGTTGTATTCGGTATTCCTGCCCATATACAGGATAGAATTTGATTGTTTAAAAATGATTTCTTATGCCGTGTGTGAGATGTGTCTGATATGTAAGTGGGAACACATTGAGAACTGAGCAGTGCATTATGGTCGAAATAAACAGCACTTATCAGATGGAATCTTGACTGCTTTCTAATTCTTTTTATTCATCAAACAAAGGCACCTCCCTACCAATTAAAGGCACTGCCTTTTGTGTGCTGCTTCCCGTACCCTGGACTCGAGTTTTAACTCAATTGTGTTCCCACTTTCCAAAAACAAGGACCAGTCTATTCCCGGAGGGCCCCTACACCGGCTAGACAATTAACTGGGAGAATGTATATTGAATTTTAATTTTAAGCTGACAGATGACGGCCATATATATGGATTTTTACATAGTA